CAAAAGACTCTTAACAAGATGCATTGTAAATCTGATCCAAATTGGTAAGTTGCATTAGGAAAAGCTTGCTTCATACTAGAAAACAATTTGTATGGTAATGGCTAAGAGATAGCTGGATCACAAAACCCCATCAAAAAAAGGCAGGGTTTTTAAATATGTTTGTAAAAGAAACTATTTAACCTGAGGATACAGCAAGACCTTCAAAAGGGATTATGCAGGTATTACAGAGGTTCTGTGTTAAGTTTTTCACTTACAAAAGATGGTTATTGGAAATTCTACGCTGCATTAGAAAAGGGGGTCAAAGAAAGGCAAAAGCAATCCAAGCCTACTCCTGCCCTGTCCAGTTCAGAGGTGGGATATGATCAGGAGTCACTGAACAAACCCAGTGAATGTCTTCTCAGCACTCAAAACACAGGGCACTGAGGGAGGATGCTTTAGGGACCTACAAAATAATTATACTGTTATTATATAAATATAATTAGCAGGTCTTCTCAGATTTTATGAGCTGCTATTCTTCATAGTAGCAAATACAACTCTTTATGGATTTGGATGATGACAGATGTCAGTCACAAAGGGAGTCTTGTTATATAGACAAACTGTACTCTTAAAACCTTCCAGCCCACAATTAACTAGCTTTTTTGGTTTTGAGCATTCATTCATTCACACTGGTGCCAGGCTGTATGGGAACATTACTGTAACATGGCCATGCAAACTGAGAGTGGATGACAGCCTCCATACTGACTGTCACTTTACCTCACAGATGATGAGTCCCATGCTTTTGAAGTAAACTGTACATGTATTTTTACAAGACTACATGTAGGCATGTTGCAGCCAGACAGCAATTTACAGAGCAGCTCTAATTATGTAATTAGATAAACACAGTGCAAAAGTGGGACAGAATCACTTCCCTGACCAGCTCTTTGACATGCAGTCTTCAGTGCACTGTCTTCTTCTCCTGAGGTAATCCTGGAAGTCCTGGGGCCTTCCAGGAAGGTAAAACTTCAGTTCCAGAGTGACCACTGTTTGATGGGACCAACTAGAACATAGTCTCCAGGAGTACATTATCTCAGTCATGAGGGGCATCAGATAATCCTGACAGGTGTTTCTCACTTAGTTTACACCTGTTCCTACTGAAGCACCTACCAAAACCAGGGATAGCTGGGACTGAGTCACTCTCCAATCAACCCTGTGCTTGCAGAGAAATGAAGCACCAGCTTTGACACCAGGAACAGTGGCAGCAAATAATATTTTTTGGTCTATCTTGTATTGATTCCCCACCCACCAAGTAACCAGTGATTGCATTCTGTGCTAGGAAACAGAGCACCATTCTACTTCACTGCACCAGCAGCTTCTCTTCATAGTACAGGACAGGACAGCAGTCACTTCAGCTGTGCAATCCCAAAGGGGCTTTGTACAAGTTATTTCTGCTGAGAGGCTTATAACTTGGTTTTATGCCTTTTGTAGAATGTGGAGAAGACTTTAATGCCTTTTGTCTTTGTAATTTCTAACATGAAGAAGATCAAGTCTCTGGCAGAAGTGCTTTCACCCAGTTGCATATTCTAGTCTCTACATTATTTGAGTTTTTTAAACAAGCTTGACAGTAACTACTAACAGCATAAATGCAGCAGTAAATTGTGCTATAAAGTTTGAAACTATTGCATCAAGCAAGGAAAGTATTCTCAGTTTAATTAAATTACTTTCATCTTTCTTTTTGCTTTGTGTACACTTCAAATTACCATATGGATGGTTAAGATCTTTTTATTAGAATTTTTTTTTTTTTTTAACCAAAAGACTGTTTACAAGCGTTTCCATTCTACCTACCTAGTACAGAGTGGCTCTTGCAGTCTTTACTTACTTAAAAACCAAAATACCACTACAGACTGAAATCTCCATCGGTTACATAAAGGCTGTAAGAGCCACCTACTGGTATTATTCTGCAAGTAACTCTGTAAACACTAATACAGTAATTCCTAGTAAGCATTTACTTGACAAAACAAAACAAAAAAACAACTAAAGAGCTAGAAAATGGTGAATTAAAAGTAATCTTAAACTGAAAGGGAGCTGGAATCCATTTCACACACAAAAATTTCTTCCATTCCCTACAACACTTGATTTTGTGGCTATACAATTCAATAGCATCTAGAATTTGCCAGTAGATGAACAGCACAATTTCTCTTTCACAGTAATAGTTCCCACACTGACAGGCACTTTAATTTGATGAATTTTGCTGGTATAGCCAGATGCATCGATTTTTTTTTTTTAAATACTAAATCAACTTTCTTGAACTCAAAAACACATTTAGGAAATTTTCTTGGTGCTATTCCGTCTGAGAAGATGCACGAAGTAGTTAGGAAGGGTAATTTCATTTTAACTATGAGAGTGGTAAAAGAGGGGAGAGGAAAGTTTGTGAAGTAGGTAATACTTTAAGGACCAAGAAGTGTAAATGGAAAATTATGCCAGTGATGCCTTCAGAAAACAAAAAGCTTAGAATTTGCTATGGTTTGGGGTCAGAGCAGCCCCCAGAACCGTTACAGACACTCTCTGGTAACCCCCTCCTCACACCCCCAAACGGGAAAGAGAAAGGGAATGAGGGAGAGAGACTTGCTGATTAGAAAACAGCTTTAATACTACCACTAATAATAATAGTAATAACTAATAAAATAGACTATGTTCAAATATATACAGTTAGTCCCAAACCCAGCTCCGCCTGATGGCAACACGTCACCATCACCCCCAGCTGGGGAGCAGCCCCCGGGCTGGGCTCAGCCACAGTACAGACTGGGTACAGGAGCTGGACTCTGGAACTCAGTTCAGGAACACAGGGCTGGGGATCAAAGGCAGGGTGGATGAAGTCCTCCTCAGAGGCAGCCACTGCAGCAGCAGCAGCCAGCAGCCCAGCAGCAGCAGATGGAAGAGAAGCGCAGAAGGGGCGACGGAAGGGCTGCCCCTCCTGATCCTTCACCTCTGCTGGAAATGAGGGATATGGGATGGAACACCCCACTGGTGAATCTTGGGGTCACTTATCCTGCCCACTCCTCCCTGCAGATGCAGGGAACTCTCTGCCCCCCTCCGTGTGGGATCCAGGCTTAGCAGTGGCCTTGGTCTGCACACCAACCCCTGGCAGTGACTCCAAACATGAAGTGTTATCACTGTTACAGCCAGATAGTTCATGAAAACACTGCTAACTTCAGAGAGCAGTTAATTAGAAGAGCTTTAGCTAAAAGTAAAATCATTAAGCAGAACCAGCTCTATTTCACTCCAAATCAGGACAGAACTGTATCAGTCTCACACAAAAGGCATATAGTAACTGTGAAATAAAGGTATGTTACAGTGGGGAAGGAAAGAGGTCATGATTTTTTTTTCCTAAGCAAAATTAGTAACTAATAAAACAGCAGAGAAATAAATGTCCTGTAAGACAAGAGCCACTAGAGAATGCATGAGTCTGGTGCTTAAGGGGGCTTGTATTTTACAGACTTCTATTGAAGACAAGTTTCCAGCTTGCCTGTATCTGACTTTTTAAGTCTTGTCTGAGGGAAGCTAGACTTGCTCTACAGAAAAGCACAACATGAACCACATCCTCCCAGTCCACAAAAGCCAAGAAGATACAGTGTTAGTAACTTTTTTCCCTAAATAAACAAGGCTGGGGAAGAGATGGCTGTAGCTTAACCTGATCCTTCCAACACACACTGTATTTTTCACCCTAGGATAGACAGTTCTTTGTACTAGAAACCAGATCACTGAAAATTCAACTACTGTTAAACAGTATCCTGCTCATATAATGAACCAGTAGCAAGAAAAATTAGGTTTTAAAAAGGGTCCCTTTATGCATGGAGGAAATTCCCTTCCTTTCTCTTGGAAGAGTGGCGTAGGAGTGCTTACTTCAGCTGAAACGGGCTAAGAGAGCAAAAATGGTCCCTTTATGCATGGAGGAAATTTCCTTCCTTTTCTTGGAAGAGTGGCGTAGTATAGGAGTGCTTACTTCAGCTGAAACGGGCTAAGAGAGCAGCTGAGATCAGCCTGCTGCTCTCTGCACTGAAGTGAATTCAAGAACTCTTCTGCTAGCTTGGCTGTGAAACCAAGAGCAGCTGTTGAGGCGCAGTGGCTGAGAGCATCTGCCCTGCCTAGAATGAGGGAAGATTCTCCACTCATGCACTTGTTCTTTCAGGACCTATTACTTGAGGTTACACTGAACATTGATATCTTCATTGATCTGGTCATGCTTAAAATTGCAGTGAGGTCCTACTCAATACTGAAATTTCTATCTATCTGCCTTTTTCACATGGAGGGTACTACCAAAGTATACTCTACTCAACACTGAATTTTCTACCTGCCTTTATCACATGGAGGGTACTACCAAAGTATACTCAAGTCAAACAATACAAAAAGCAAAGGTCCTTTTATGCCCTCGTGAAGGACTTCCTAAGAATCACAGAATTCTAGACTGAATAGTGCTCTCAGCACATTTTCACTTGAAATGAATGCTAAAGACCCCTTTTAAGTCCAATAATTTTATTTCAGATTACGGCAATACTAATAGTCAAATTACAGTTACTAAAATGTCATTTAAGATGAATTTTTACAATTCAATCTGAAATACAGGTAACATTGTTAGAATTCTAGATTGAATAGTGCTCTCAGCACAGCGTATGTTCATTTTCACTTGAAATGAATGCTAAAGACCCCTTTTAAGTCCAATAATTTTATTTCAGATTACGGCAATACTAATAGTCAAATTACAGTTACTAAAATGTCATTTAAGATGAATTTTTACAATTCAATCTGAAATACAGGTAACATTGTTAGCATGTTCTACAAAAACTCATAAAAACACAGAGCACTTGACATATTAGTCATTACATTTAGCTAAAATGTAAATAGCATCATTCAGCTGAGGATGTTTTAGGTTCTCTGTAACACCTTGTGCTGGCAGAAGTGCCACTTGGTCATTGCTACACTTGTCACAGCAATTGATAGCCCCAAATCTTGAAAATCTTTCAGACTGGCACTATCGTAAGGCAAAGTAAAGCCACGACACTTGGCTTGAAGGGAGAAGCTGTGCTTGTCATAGCAAGTGGTGGTCCCAAATCTCAAAGATCCTGCAGACTGACACTCTTCAGGAAGGCAAAATAAAAGCTGTGACAGTCTGCTTGCAAGGAGAGATGAGCTCAGAGCAGTCTAACAGTCTTCCCAGTCACAGTCAAGAAGTCATCATCAGCCAAGGCACGAAGCGCTTCTTCAAACATTTCCTTCGTGATAGCCTTAAAGAAAAGAAGTCAATCAAGTGAAGATGGGAGGGAAAATACTTTAAAGACAGTAAAAATGCCTTGCGTCCTGCCAGTTTTCTTTCCAGATTTTTTACTTGGTTCTTTTTGCAGTTTGAAATCCAACCTGGAACCCTGAAGATGAAGTTCCTATTTCTTAAGCCGGAGTAAACTCAGATACAGCAAAAGATTCAGCTCATTTATCCACAGAATTAGCTTTTTGGTCATGGCAGCGGATGTCTCCCTTTCCCTCCATCATGTGATTTGAGGACAAGAATGTTGATTTGGAAAAACCATGCTTTTAAAACTTAATGAGAATGGAGAAAGAGAGCAGGAAACTTACGGTATCAGACTGTGCTCGGATATCATCGAAAAGCTGCTGGTACTTCAAAGATGGTGTTTTACCCTTCGACTGGATAAGCTTCCTCAAGGCTTGAGCCAGCTCCTCTCTGCGCTTACGAGCTGTTGCACTCATTCCTTATAGAAGGAAGGAAACACCTTTTAGAAATCAGCTACGGAGGACAGGCTAGGTTACATTTACAAGTCACAAACGCCCAACAACATGGAGCTTTCACACCACGCCAACACAAACCTGTGGTGAGAATGGATATGTCCACAATTCCAGTCCTTGGGTCAGTGGCAGATTGCTTCAGTGCTTCCCGATGGAGGCGTTTTGCTTCTTCTACATCAATGGTTTCCACTTTCTCAGAGAAGCGTATTTTAGCGTGAGCCTCTGCCAGGCGGATCAGAGACTCCAGCTGCCGAGGGTAGGCAGACACCATCCCCCTGCCACTCCCAATCTTCCTCATGTCCACGTATGCCTGAGGAGGACAGTCATTAAATAGTTCAGTAAATCCTGTTACATTCATCATTCTGAGTCCCCTTCTGCCTCCTCCCCTTTTATGAGCAATTCTGGCAAGCCATTCCAGATATTATTTCCACAACTCTTCTGCAATGAAGGGTAACCACACCACTTCCACTTCTTTCTGTTATAAAGTAATTAAGCCATGATAATAAATCAAGTTTTAAATTACTTTAAAAACTTAGGGCTAGTCTCTTACATAGCAGCACTTGCATCTGTGACAACACATTTATTTTGTTTCCAATCGGATTTTATTCTTTTTATGTGATGGAACCAAACCAACACCTCTGAAAGTTTAAGACTGGGGTGCAGAACAACTTCTGTACTGGGGCCTACAAAAAAACTGGGGAGTGACTTTTTACAAGGGCTTGTAGTGACAGGACAAGGGGTAACTATTTCAAACTGGAAGAGGGGAGACTTAGATTAGGAAGTAGGAAGGAGTTCTTTGCTGTGAGGGTGGCAGGACTCTGGCACAGGTTGCCCAGGGAAGCTGTGGATGCTCCATCACTGGAGGTGTTCAAGGACAGGCTGGATGGGGCTTTGAGCAACCTGGTCTAGTGGGAGGTGTCCCTGCCCATGGCAGGGGGGTTGAAACTAGATGATCTTTAAGGCCGCTACCAACCCAAACCATTCTATAGTTCTGTGATCCCTCTTTCCTTTTAAATGCTGGTGATTTTTAGAGATTTTTGAGGAATCTTACAGGAAAGTTGTATATAGGTAGAAAATGTACATACTATGGGATTTTGCCATTTTTGCCAAGTCAGGAAAGAGTCTGAACATTCTTAATGCAATTCCTTTACCTCAATGAGGGCTTGGCTTGCTTCTTCACCTAACCTGGGATTTACGTAACTACGAGCATATGCAATATAATCCCTCAGCACTGCCATGTCCATGTATTCCTCCTCCATCTTCTCTTCACTTTGGTAGTACAGTGAAATCAAGTGGCGAGCAAGACGTCTGTCGTAAGCTTCATCACGTGGATCCAACATTAAAAAGATCAAGTCAAATCTGAACAGAATAAGATTCCAATATCAGTGTATATAGTTTCCTGACAGTTAAAGCAGCTTGTTTTAGGGGTTTTAACTTAACACAGGCAGGAGTTACATGACTATTAATTCCTAGTCAAAATAGGAGTTGCTCTATTGAAGTCAAAAGATAATTTTTCTAGAATTCTAAAAGTATAGAATAGATTTGCTTTCACCCTATGGACTTGAAACTTTCAACAGTGAGATATGTTCTGTGAAATTCAGATCCCATGTTCAAGGCGGACAGCTTTGTTTTCTTACACAAAAAAACCCCAAACCACCAACAAAACAACATACACACCCCAAATACACAGAACAAACTTGCTGCTAAAGGAGCTGCCCTGTGAGGTGACAGTGAACAGGGCACAGACTTAAATAGTTTTATTAATGCATGTAAAAAACAAAGGTAAATAAATATATGTGTAAATAAAAAAGCACCTGCAGTTTAATTCTGAAGAAAAGGGCTTATAATTTTATGAACAATATACTCAGCTACTCTCAACTATAGGCAGACCTGAATAGTTTATTTTTAGACAGCCAGTTGTGTATTTTCATAGGGTTCAATATGATAAATGGTGGCATTGTGATGCTGCTCAAGCCGAGCTGCATTCAGCACACCCATACTAAGGTACCATTTGTCATTAAGTGGCTAAACTAAGCAGCTCTTAATTGAATTCTAAGCCGTTAAGTGTTCTCAGAATATCCAGTATACCAGCATTGTACTTCAAGTTTCCAGTTAATGTAGGAATTCCTCAAAAGATTCAGCTGCAGTACAACTTAGTTTTCTATCAGCAGATGCTAAAAGTTGCTCTAACAGCTACAGTCCTGGCACTGCCACCTCCCTGACTGAACTTTACAGAACAACGTGAAGCAGGCACAGATCTTCAGATTCCACCCCCTCCACTGCAAATTCCCTGATCATCAGTGTTTCACTTTAAGTTTCATGGAGCTAAGAACATCCTGAGTTTTTGTTGAAGTTATCAATACTGTAAGTTTCAGAACAAATCTTTTCTAGGATTATGGAACAACAGGAAAACAACAACACAGAAGTAAAGAATGGGATCCCACAGATCTCATCACATCTTCTGTTCAAGGTCATTGTGTAAATATTAAAAGTGAGTTCCCTTCTCACATAGAAGCTCTAAGAAGAACGTTTAAAGCAAGTGCTGTAAAACTTTTCCATTATGCTGCAAAGAACACAATTCTTCTAGTTCTACTAGATTTAATCATTTTCACAGGAGGAAGTATAACTTTCCATAAAAACGAGGCATGCAAGCAGGAGCTCAGTACCTTGACAACAGTGTATGAGGAAGCTGGATGTTTTCAATTGTAGTCTTTTTTGGATTCCACTGTGATTCTATAGGGTTAGCTGCTGCTAGGATAGATGTACGAGCATTCAGTTGGCAAATAATTCCAGCCTGTCAAAATGAAAAAGATTTCTGAAACTGCAGCTACCTACTCACCAGGACTTTTTCCCCCAATTTCATGGTATCACCAATGTTAATAAATGGGTTCTGTAGTAAAAAAATGGATTGCAAAAGCCTTTTAGAGGAACACAAGAACAAAAATACCTGGAAATACTACACTTTGCTACAAAAAAAAAGGTATTCTTTTGTAAAAGAGTTGTTACATAATCTAGGATTGATCCACTGACAACAACAGAAAAGTGTTACCAGCAGAACAAAGGGTTACTTTTTGGTTCCAGCTGCCTGGCATGTCCCATGCTTAGTGGACAGCACTGAACAGATGCTTACCTTTGCAATGGAGAGAGTCTGCTGCTCCATCACTTCGTGCAGCACTGATCTTGTGCTTTCATT